TTACCACTAAATTTCGTTAACTCACTGATTTATATCAATAAAGTATATTGTTGCTTCTTTCTTATGAGTGAAGTGCATCATTCCATTCATGACAAGGAAAAACTCAATTCTGCCTCGGGTCCCCTTTCAGCAAGTCACTTTTCCTTAAAGGGTCAAAGCTCATTTATGTCAACCTACCCACTGAATCCTCCAAATACTTTATGGGACTATCTATCTGTTGAAAGAATCTTAGATGATGCAGGACATATACTGCTTCAGGCCTGCTTGCACAATCCGGTCTGCGTGCTGGACGGCAGGGACCTGTGTTCTCCAGCAACAGATCTGTGTCCTTGAGCAGCAGATATCAGAAAGCTGCATAGAGGAAAACAGGGAATGAAGTTGTTATCCAGAGTGTGAGAAACCAGAAGATGGGGGGGTCTGGAAATGTGCCTTGGCTAGTAGAGCAAATAAAGTTATAGATATAGTGTGTGAAAGTAAATGTAACCAATAGAAAGTTAGAATAGAGCGTGTGAACCCTGTAGGACCCTTGATAATGTGTGTATTTTTGGAATAAAGTTGGAACATTGACTGTACCTCGATGAGGATGTGTTTTTGACTCTCAAGCTCATTTTTTGCATCTTCTCCTTTTATCTGGCGCCCGAACAGGCGATAAAAAGTGCAAAAAGGTAGAAGAATGCGGGTAGCCGATTGATCTCCTTGCGGTGAGACGCGGTTGGAGACGGGAGAGGCTGATAGCTGAGAGACGCTGGTAGCCGAAAGAGGCTGGTAGCCAAGAGAGGTTGGTAGCCGAGAGAGGCTGATAGCTGAGAGAGGTTGATAGCCGTGGGAGGCTGGTAGCCGTGGGAGGCTGATAGCCGATTGATCTCCTTGTGGTGAGACGCGGTTGGAGACGTGAGAGGCTGGACAGAGGAGTTTCGGTCGTGGGCCAGTCGGCGCGAACCGAGGTAGGAAGGGTCGCTACCTTCCCCCTGTCATTTGCTGCAAGCATGGAAGCAGAGTTTGCTGCAGTTAAAAAGTTGCTGTTAGCTATCCTTGCTAAGCAAGGTGAAACAGTAGCTGAGAAGGTATTTGACAAGCTTATTGCTTGGACCTGTGAAAACAGTTTCTTTAAAGTACCCCCTCTCCTTTTCGCCTTTGACGAATGGCGGGGTTTGGGAGATAGACTTTGGGACTTGATTACCCTCGCTGCTACTACGAAACTTCTCGGCCGTGCAGTCATCCTGCTGAAGGGGGGAGTGCGTCGCGGCCTGGCACACACTGCCCCCACCGAACTGTGTGAATTCGAACCATGGCCGCCGCCACCCCGTGCAGTTGTGGTACAGACGAACACCAGAGAGACACTATGGCCGGAAAACCCTCACGGCGTAGCAGAGCAGGGCGAGGCAGCACCGCGGGGGTAAAGCAGGAGCGCCCCAGAGCCGGTAGGAGAGCAGCCCTGGAGTAACGGTGCAAGAAAAAACCAGGAGCGGCCCCAGAGGGAAACTGGGATGGAGTAACCCCGGAAAAGTATCACTTCTTGTTGAGAAGGGGAGCAGGCTAGAAGGCTGCTTTCCCGTGTTTCTGTTAACTTTCGTGTTGACTCTGTTGTCTGTCCAGTGTGTCGTTGTGGGCTCACGGTGTTGCTAACTATGCCGTGCTAGTGGGTGTGTGTGTCTGGGTTAGGGGTTGTGCGTGTGTGTGGAGAAGAGACCATGGGTTTGTTAGTAACTGTTAAAACCCAGGGATGAGGGTCCGGAAGAGGTGTCTCAGATGACACAGGAGCATAGGAATTTGCCTTTGAGATTATTCAAACTGCCGTTGGTGCCGGTAGCCGCAGCGGAGAGGCGGTTCGGAGCTGCAGCAGCGAGAACAGACACTAAACAACTTCAGCAGGTTCTCTCTCCCTTCCCCCCCCCACGAGGGGGGGGGGGGAGAGCGAACGAGAACAGCGGTAGAGGCTGCAGTGAGAAAGAAAACCAAGTGGCCGAGAAAAGAACGCAAAATCTCTCTCTTTAGTTCTTCTACTCACTTGTAGATAACTTAAACCCAAAGACTTGCGTTAACCTGCAAGCTAGTATGCAGACAGTTTTAGGGAATTTTTCTGGGAAATGAGTATTTGTACGAAAATCTTAGTGAAATGCCTTATTCTTAGCTGTTTTACCCCTATAAAACCCTTCTGAAAAAATATCGTATTCAGTAAAAATAAAAAATCAAAAAGCAGGGTTTTGACAAAAAGGATATAAAGCCCTCTTGCAAAACTTTGCATTTGCCTTAGCAGAGAAAGAGATAAGGTGTTAGTGGCTCTCACAATAGAGATAGTTTGTTGCCAAGTAACAGAGTAGGAGACCTCCTCTGGCCAAACTCAAAAAAAAAAAAAAAAAAAGGGAGGTGTAGAACACTCCTATTTTATAGAGGCTGCAACTTTGCAATCTTCTGATTGGGGAAAGAAATATTTTTGCCTTACAGTTTGTGGGAGGAAGGGCAAAAAATCTAAAAAAACCTCTCCTGTCTCGCTTTGAATCTCCCTGCCTACAGGATAGGGGGAGACTGCTAACTTCATAGCATGATGATTTCTGTTGTTTGAATGCTTTATCTAACTTGTGCATTCCTTTACTGCATGTCTTAATTGAGTGACTCTTGATCATGTCCTGGATATTTTTCTTTATGCTCTTAATGCTCTTGGGTTCTTCACAGCACACAGACTTTGACCATTTAACACAAGCAGTGACAGTGCCTGGTGCCTGATTGTATTGCACTACCTGCTTTGTCCTACATGATTCTCTGCAGCCTTTTATTAGTAACTAACAGCCAACCACTTTGTACTATAAAACCTATTTTCCTCTTGTACAGTCAAGTTACAAAAATTCTGAAATTTGAAATTCTTTTGTGAAAATTGTTTAATAGTCTAGGCTCTATTTTGCAGAAATTCCACAGATTCATTCTGTAATCCAAACCCGTGAGATGAAACACTCCTGTTCATCTATTCCAACTTGGAGATTACGTCTACATTCAACAGTAGGATGCTGACCCCCTGTATGCTGACTGCAAAGAGATTATGATTACCTGCAACCACGGCATAGCATGCAAGTGTCCCTGGATGACCCAGTGAAGCAGGAACAGCTAGAGCCTATTCCGATCTCTTCACTAAAGATGGATATGGTTACAAAGATATTATTGTCTACCCTTTTCCTATTAGTCCTTTGTTGTAGATATTCTATGTTGTTTTCCTTGTTTTTCATCAATATGCTGCTTAACTTGTTCAACAATGGCATGGTCCAACCACAGACCATGCGGTGGGAATGTATTCATGCTTAATTGGATGATGCAAGTCCTGATAGACGGGAACTTCATTCCTGAAACAACCATCTTGTATAACTTGAGATTAATTGGTATTTTGCTATTAGTTGACAACTCTCCAAAAACATTTGACAGAAACAGTGAAAAAGAAGATGATGTTAAGACAGACACCTGAGATACAGCACGCCACAGGTAAATCATATAAAGACCCATCCTTACACGGGACACTAAACTCAAAGTCAACAAAGCTAAGCTTTTTATTCATGCAACAACTAGCCTAACAGTTTAATTTCAGTACCAAAAAAAAAAAAAAAAGGGGGGAGGGAGTGAGAAAAGATAAGTTCATGAGATGGTCTTCCTGACTGTTTCTTGAGGTTGCTTGCCTAAATAGCCAGAATTGTTTTAAACGTGGTGGAGAAGTGAAGTTTTTGAAGTTTTTTTTTAGTGACTACTGACAAGTTCTCTTTGAAGTCTAAAAGCCCATTTGCATAGAGAAGTGCATGTTTTGCTGTAAAAATAGAAGTATATATTTTTCTTTAAATTATAAGAATGTTTGTATGTATTTGGGTTTTGAACTGAACGTGAGGCAGAAATACGTTTATGTTTTCCTGTTTTCCAAGTTATACTTTCATAAAAACAAGAAATGCATAATTAGATCTTACTCATCTAAAGGCAAAACACAAGAATGATGGTTTCTCAGTCCACGGTCAGAGAACACAGTATAATACAGCTCGGAGGTATGTTTGTGTGAGAGCATGAAGTGATGGTCATCACGCATGAAAGTTGTGTGAATGTATGCATGTGAATGTATGAATATATGATTATTAATATATTCTGGTTTTGCTCACAAATGCGTAAACCATATTACCTCACATATGCATAAGCACCTTTGGATAAAGAGTGGGAGACACATAACCCTGAGTTAAATAAAGTTTCATTTGCAAAATAAAAGTTTTCAAGAACCACATGGAACAAAGAGTTGAACCAAGCAAAAGACCATCAGTCAGGCCTGGATTGTGCAAAAGAAAAAGGGGGAATTGTTGAGATAATCTTAGATGATGCAGGACATATACTGCTTCAGGTCTGCTTGCACAATCCGGTCTGCGTGCTGGACGGCAGGGACCTGTGTTCTCCAGCAACAGATCTGTGTCCTTGAGCAGCAGATATCAGAAAGCTGCATAGAGGAAAACAGGGAATGAAGTTGTTATCCAGAGTGTGAGAAACCAGAAGATGGGGGGGTCTGGAAATGTGCCTTGGCTAGTAGAGCAAATAAAGTTATAGATATAGTGTGTGAAAGTAAATGTAACCAATAGAAAGTTAGAATAGAGCGTGTGAACCCTGTAGGACCCTTGATAATGTGTGTATTTTTGGAATAAAGTTGGAACATTGACTGTACCTCGATGAGGATGTGTTTTTGACTCTCGAGTTCATTTTTTGCATCTTCTCCTTTTATCTATCCTTACACATCTTCCATTACCTCTAACTAGCCTGTTGGGAGGAAAGGGTTAAAAGCAGATTTGGCAAGGAGGCAGTAGATTTCGCTCAAGAGACTTCTGCAGCTGGGAATGCTAGACCTGGAAAAGATCAGTGTGGGAAAATCCCATTTATTACACCTACTGATGTTTATCCTCTGCCTGGTTTGAGAAGTAGGATTCCTGTGTAGAGATAACACTTTCTCACAGCCCCTGCTGGGAGAGAGACCATAAAAGCACAGGGGAGAACACAGCCTTGAAGTAATGTGCATGCACCAGGCTTGTTGTTACGTAGAGGTCGGGAATGGCCCCCACGGCATTTTTCTGCCTGCTGCTACCTAGCAGTGTAATGACCTTGTCTGCTGGCAAATAATGAAATAAACCTTTTCTTTACACTGTAGCTGTGGTTTGTGGTTGTCTCGGTTAACCTGCATCTATTAATTCTTACATAGCCCTTGACATAGAATATCTTAAATTGGAAGGGACCCATAAGGATCATTGAGTCCAACTCTCTGCTCCTCGCAGGACTACCTAAAACTAAGCCATATGACTTGAGGGCGTTGTCCAGACACTCCTTGAACTCTGACAGGCTTGGTGTTGTGACCACTTCCCTGGGGAGCCTGTTCCAGTGACCAACCACCCTCTCAGTGAAGAACCTTTTCCTAATGCCCAATCTGAACTTCCCCTGACACAGGGGAAGTTTCCATGTGCCCTATTGCTGATCACCAAAGAGATGAGATCATCACCTCTTCTTTGCTGCCCAACCTTGAGGAAGTTGTAGACTGCAATGAGGTCATCCCTTTTCCTTCTCTTCTCCAAGTTGAACAAACCAAGTGACCTCAGCTGCTCCTCGTAAGTCCTGTCCTCAAGACCTCTTACCATCTTAGTTGCCCTTCTCTGGATGCACTCTAATAGTTTGATGTCCTTCTTAATATTGAGCTGCCCCAAACTGCACCCAGTACTCGAGGTGAGCCCACACCAGTGTGGTGTAGATGGGGAAAATCACCTCCCTCGACCAGCAAGTAATGCAGTGCTTGATGCACCCCAGTACCTGGTTGTTCCTTTTGGTTGACAGGGCACATGGTTGACTCATATTCAACTTGCCATCAACCCAAACCCACAGATCTCTTTCCACGGGGCCTCTCTTCCCCTAATTTGGATGTTTTACATCAGTCCCAAACTCTGAAAACAATACTCTACAAATCTTTTTAGAAAAGATAAACAGCATTATTAATAAATAAATGTGCTTACTGTTCTTGAATCAGAGAAAGGATTATACTCATCTAGTCCTGGTGGAACATTTCTTGTCACTTGTGCAACAGAAGGATCCTAGAAGGGAAAACAGTTGTGTAAATGTATGCATATGTATACAAGCAATGAGTCAACATACATCATCATATCATATAAAACTCTAAAAAAGTTTGTTTTCTCTAAAAAAAAAAAATACATCTTTCTCTGTCCCTGAAATGACATAATTCTATCCTGAGCTTGTTAAATATCTTTATCAATAATCTGAGGGGATTCAGTGCACCCCAAGTAAGTTTGCAGACAACATCAAGTTGGGTGCTGATATGCTTGAGGGTAGGAAGGTTCTGGTTGAGAGATCTGGACAGGCTAGACTGATGGGTCCAGGTCAATTGTATGAGGTTCAACAAGGCCAAGTGCTGGGTCCTGCACTTGGGTCACAACAACCCCATGCAGCACTATAGGCCTGGAGAAGAGCAGTTGGAAAGCTGCCTGGTAGAGAAGGACCTGGAGGTGCTGGGCAACAGCTGGTTGAACATGAGCCAGCAGTGTGCCCAGGTGGCCAAGAAGGCCAATGGCATCCTGGTTTGTATCAGAAATAGTGTGGTCAACAGCATCCTGGTTTGTATCAGAAATAGTGTGGCCAACAGAGGTAAGGAAGTGATCGTTCTCCTGTACTCGATACTAGCAAGGCCACACCTTTAATCCTGTGTCCAGTTTTGGGCCCCTCACTACAAGGAGGGCATTGAGGTGCTGAAGCGTGTCCAGAGGAGGGCAACAAAACTGGTGAATGGTCTGGAACATAAGTCCTAGGAGGAGCAACTGGGGTTGTTTAGTCCAGAGAAAAGGAGGTTGAGGGGAGACCTTATTCTCTTCTACAACTACCTGAAAGGAGGTTGTAGCAAGGTGGGCATTGGTCTCTTCTCCCAGGCAACTAGCAATAGGACAAGGGGAAATGGCACGAAGTTGCACCAGGGGAGGTTCAGGTTGGATATTAGGAATAATTTCTTCACTGAAAGAGTGGTTAAGCATTGGAACAGGATCCCCAGGGAAGTGGTCGGGTCACCATCTGTTAAAGAAGAGTTCAGACCCTAGGTTCTAAGGCAGAGATGCTTCTGGAGAGGGACCCCAAAGAAATCTCTGGGCCTTTACACCCTCACAGTCTGTGCATCCGATCTTCACATGCCCTGCATGCGCCTCTTAGTCCGATGGCAATTTATAGTCCACAGTCTTCTAACACCTCATTGGATTCTTTCTCCATGTCTACATGGTCAGGTCATTAACCGCTCTTATCTTCCAGCTTGGTCCAGCCTTGGGGACCTCCATGGTCTCAACCCTTATCTGAAGATATCCAGTCTTTCTCTGTTTCCTCCCCTGCTTAGCCATTCATGCTGACAGAGTTCATTTAGAGTTCACCTACACTAAGTTTTGAGCAAGGCCCACTCATGCTAAGCTGTAAGCAAGTTACAATTCAACTTAAACCTACACAATGAATTTCTAATATTCTATAAGTAAACTTATTTTAATCCCCAACACCATCCCCGGAAGTGTTCAAAAAATGAGTAGACATGGCACTTCACGATACGGTTTCATGGACATAATGGTATTCAGTCGAAGGTTGGACTTGATGATCTTGGAGGTATTTTCCAACCTTAATGATTCTATGATTCTTATAAAACTAGATTAATACAGTCTAAAAGAAACACCATCTGTCATATATTTGATGTGTAAGGGAAGAAAGTTCTCAACAGATAAGGGAAGAAAACTGTATCTTTCCATGTTGACCACTGGATTCCACAACTATACACCCAAAGAGCACAACAAAAGGAAAGAGTTTTCTGTAAACTCTTGGTTTTCCCTACCCAGAAATACCTCCAACACCTTCAGCAATAGGAAAAGCATTTCAGAAAAATGAAGCTGAGGAAACAGTGTTCCATAATGCCAAAAGCACCTCCAGTTCAGCTTCTGCATGAACTGGTAATATTAACAAAAAGATGTAATTTTTTCCTCCAATGAACTCTACAGTAAAAGAAACTACTTAAGGTTTAGTTTGAGAAAACTTCAGGAATTAAACACTTTTCTGTGCTAGAGACAGTCTGGTTTGATTCTGCAGAAGAGCAGAATTGCCCACTATCATAGACCACTCTAACTTCATAAGAAAAACTGTACATATTTCATGTGATGCCTTGTTTCACTACATTGTTTCTGTGGCTTAATTTAATGGTTTTGCATCTTCAGAACATAAGAATGGATGGACTACCTGGATGTCCAGGTGCAGGTTGCTGGACTTGGAATTGTTCTGAATACATACAGTGCAGTGAACAACTGATGCCCACAAGAACTGCACTTCATAATTCAAAACTACTTACAATATTTCTAAAAACATTAGACCTGTCATCCCAAGGAATAGACAAAATTACTGTGAATCATTCACCTTACACTCATTACAGTTCACTTTAAAAATGGAGCCAACGTCAACTCATCTAGATGCAGCAAGAATAACTGCAAAGCCCTCGTACTTATTGCTGCAGAATAATGAAACACTGAATTTAGAAGTTAATCAGAATGTGAATAATGAGCATGTAAAACAAATGCTGTGCAGGACCACATGCTCAAAGAAAAAGTGGTATTTAAATGAATACTATCAAATTTGTATGTGTCATGACGTATCCTAGTGGTTAAAAAAGTGAAAACTATAATATTCTATAGAAATAAGTAAGTCTAGGCTGGCATAACTTATTTTTCCATATTTGATATTTCAGTTAGATAATAAAGGTAAAATGCATTATTTTTTAGTTATTTTTGTTAATATTAAGAAACAGAAAAAAGCCACAAATACAAGTTCCAATAGATGATAATATACAGACACCAACACAAAGCTGCAGCGTGGCTGGAACCACCAAATATCCAGAGACCTCGACCTGCTCCATTATTTAAGTGATTAAAAATTTGGTTACCCTCTGCAAATACAGAAAATAGATAATTTCTGAGACAGATTTTAAATATCTGATGTCAGCTGTTGAATGCAGCAACTGTAAAATGCCTGATCCTATCTCAGACTGAGAAGGCTATGTCCTAGTGGGCCAGTACTTCTGCCCAAAATGGACCTGCCCTTGCACTAACTCCTTGCCACAACCTGATTGTCTTCAGCCACCCAGCCAGTCCCAGTCTCTGCTCCTTAGAGTGCTGATCCCAGTAATTATCATCTTGCTCACCTAACTCCTTGTTCCCTCCTTCCAGTTCACACGTCCTTCTCCAGCCTTATCTCACCCAAGCTCCTGCCAGTTCAGCACCTTGAGTTTCTAGTCTTTTTATTTAACTATTAGTCATACTGACCAGAGCAGAATTTAAGTATAGGACATTTTTCATACCCAGATATTGCAGCTATTGGTGAGCTGAAGTCACACAGTCATTTCAGATGACATTTTAAAGATCTGAATTAGTTCAGGAGACCGGAGTTTTAACAAATCAGCACAACCTAATTAATCATTTTCCATCTAATCTTTCATTTTACCTGCTCCTTGTAGTCTCTCCCCCACAATATCAATCTCAAAAGCAAAGATTAGAATCACACTCTTGGAATCATGAGGAGTCATGTACAAGCATCACCCCAGTATTACATCAGAAAAGGAAAAGTCAGTTGAGAAAAAAACCCAACCCAACCAAAACCAGAAAACCACAACACATCTATATCATACATATAGAACTATTAAAAATGTCTCCTGTGATAGTGTATTGGGTTTACATGGCAAGGTTTTGGTAGCCAGAGGGGGGGCGGGGGAAACTACAGGGGTAGCTTCTGTGAGAAGCTGCTAGAAGTTTCCCCTATGTCAAATAGAGCCAATCAATGCCAGCTGGCTCCAACATGGACCCGCTGCTGGCCCCAACATGGACCCGCTGCTGGCCAAGGCTGACCCAATCAGCAATGGTGGTAGCACCTCTGGGATAACATATTTAAGAAGGGGGACCGGGAGGCAAACTGCTGCCCAAGATCAGCCTTAAGTGAGAATATGTGAGAGAAACAACTCTGCAGACACCAACGTCAGTGAAGAAGGACGGGGAGGAGGTGCTCCAGGCACCGGAGCAAAGATTACCCTGCTGCCCGTGGTGAAGCGTACCGCAAAAAAAATAAAATAGCCACTGTCTCAAAACCAACATTTTGTGATCAATCCAAGCAAGCAAATACTTAAAAAACCCCCCACCTATTCTATCAACTAAATTTCTTTACTTCCAGGAGATAGTAAAACAGAAAAATAATTTTATTTTAGACTTCCAAAAGAATTAACTATGCAAAATACTGAGCAAACTAGATGTTTCTTCTTAACCTTTATCTTCCCAGAGAACATATTTTTGATTCAACATCAAGTAAGAATATCTGCTGTAATCTTTTTATTAAAAGGCATAAGAATAGTCACAGGGAATCTCACAAGTAGATCACAAAAAATTAGTAAAATCAAAATATTAAAGAAAAAATGGCATCTATCTTCAGGCCTTGGCAAAGTCTTCCACGTGATGGCCCCCTCTCCTTTCTCTGCCATACTAGTCTGTGATTTTACACAAGCACAAGAAGCGGCTTCAAAGGTAAGGAAAATAAATAATCTCATCATACATAAAATTGTTCCCCCCTCCCAAGGCCAGCACTACCTGCCGCGGCTGAGAACGGCCCCCCAGCACGCAGCAGAGCCGATACCACTCCCTCCCTAGGACGTCCAATAGCTTCGCGCAGCGTGCTCTGCTCTCGCCGCGGCACCGAGGAAGGCTCGCGGCACCCCTGTCACCCGCCGCCTCACCTTGAAGGGGTTATTGAGGTCCGGGTCAGCAAAGGGATTGCTATCGAAGTCCGACATGGCAGGCGCAGGAGGGTCGCTACAATCACTGGGTGGCCACTATCACCAACCGCTGAGACCCCAGTCCAACCCCGACCAGCCACAAAGCAAAATGGCTGTCCCGGAAGTGAGATTGAGGGACGGAAGCGCCCCGGAAGAGAGAAAGAGCGCCCACTCCCAGGATGAGCAGGAGGGAGTAGTGCCCAACACCGGAGGAGGAGCTTCAGAATTAGAAAAGATACATGATTAGCCAAGGATGTCCCCCTCAACAAGTTCTCTCTACACCTTGCTTTCCAAATAGTAGAATTTATTTTTTTGTGCTAGGTAAGAATTACCTACTTGCAATTAACTGTTTCTAATTTTGGTACAAGATACATCTCATAAATACATCAATTTGATTTTTAATATGCTAATAAGTAAGTTCCACTATTGAATGAGTGACTTTAGATAAAAATTCACCAGCCTCACAGAATTGGCTGTTTAAACTTCAACAAACAGTAGATTTCAACTGCCTGTGCGAGTACTGTACTTGTATGCTCGTGTTTAAGAAATCTTGTGTAAGGAAACTGAAATTCCTTCAAGTCCTGGTTCTCTCAATTTTCTATCACTTACGGAATTTGCAATGTTTATGCCAACCTCAGATGGTGGTGAGGAGTGCTCAGATCAACTAAGAGGAAAATCCATCAGGTTTTTCTCAATCCAAAATGCTTGAATGCTGAGGAGGCAACCAAGTGATGTGTCTTGATCAGATCTCTGTCCCAATAAAGTAGATCACAGTTTTACAAAGGATGGGCCTTCAAAAAATAAAACCAAGCTGTAACAAATAAACACTTCTAAAAAAGTATTTCCTTTCATTACAATGGAGAAGTCTATGCAGCATCAAATGCAAGCATAATTGTTAGGAAAAAAACAGGGATGGAGAATGTCAATGTGCTATGTGAGCACTTAGCTAAGGCTCTGCTATAGAAGTTTGGAAAAATGAATGGCATGGAAGATTGATCACTAGAAACGTAGAAGAAAGAAGCACAAGAACTCTATGGTAGTGTAAGTGCAAGGTACAGCTTTAAATTAAATCATATGCAGATACTGGTTTTAAAGTCTTGCTGAAAGTTTAGGGAGAAGACACCTAATCTGTTAGGTAAAACTACCTGAAGAGTTATTTGATAACAGATCTTGGAAGAATTTAAAATAGTGATAATATTTTTCTAGGTTTTACAGCAGACAGATTTACTTGAAAAATGTTGAAAAGATTTTAACAAGGAGAGAGAAAAGAGACATGTGGTAAGCAGGCATTTTAATATAATACTTGAACTGTAATATTCCCCGAAATTTTTTTGCCTCAATTTAAAAGAAGAAAGTGTGGAGAAGAGAGGAGAAATGGCAGAAATAACAGCAGCATTCAGAACTCTCAAAATCTGCTACATGCAGGCTCCTATTTAACCTTTCTTTCTCTTTTTTACAATCAATGAAGCCCTGGTTTTGCAAGATAATAAATCCCATTTCAGTGTGCTGATTGCTGAATCAAAATCTGTTTCCAACATTGTTGTGATTTAACTTCAGCTGGCAACTAAATACCATGCAGATGCTTGCTTCCCCCACCCACATGGGGAGGAGAATCAGAAAAAAAAGTAAAATTCATGGGTTGAGATAAGAACACATTAATAATTGAAACAAAGTAATATACAAAAATAATACTAATAGCACTAATTATAATAACAACAATAATAATAATTGTAATGAAAAAGAGAGAGGACTAAAACCCAAGAGAACAAGTGATGCACAATACAATTACTCACTGTTGCCTAAAGACTAGGAGCCAAAAAACCTCACCAGGCAAATTTAGTGTAGAGATAAGTTATAGAGCAGGTCTTTAATGACAGCCTCCTGGCCACGGGAGTACAGACAAGACACACACCCCATCCCTGTGGTTCTACAATTTTATAGTATTGTTCATCCAATCCCAGAAACATCCACCCCCCAGATCCTCCCCCGGAAATTGAGTCAGGGGTCCTAAGACCCCTTTCTTCCTCATCCTCCTCTTTTTCATGGCACATACTGTCTTTGGAGCTCCTCCAAGGTTCCGAGTTTGAAGGTTGCTTTGACTATGATGGTATCTTGTTGTTCAGGCCAAGGGTGCAAATGTTCTTAAACAGAATATGTTTATTACAATTCTACCTTGAAAAGAAGTCTAAACAAGTCTAAGGAATTTAGAAAATTCGATATGAAATGGGGAAATTTGGTTTAGTGAATGTAAACAACTATTCTAAAGTGTGAAAGACTATACAATTATATTAAAAATCTATATTTACTACACAGTTACTTCTAAAATCTACAAAAAGCTAAAAATCAAAAAAATTCAAAGGCATTATCACCATCTGCTAACCGATACCCAGCCCATCCCTGAGCAGTGATTGGCAGCTCCCAGCCAACTCCCCCCAGTTTATATACTGAGCATGATGTTCTATGGTATGAAATATCCCTTTGGCCAGTTTGGGTCAGCTGTCCTGGCCGTGTTCCCTTCCAGCTTTTTGTGCACCTCCTCACTGGCAGAGCATGAGACACTGAAAAGGCCTTGATTTAGAGTAAGCACTACTTAGCAACAAGTAAAACATCAGTGTGTTATTGTTGGAAATGATATAACTTTCCTAAACTTTTAATTAATGGTAGTGGGTGGCTAGGTTTCTTTTCACAGACTCTTGTTGGTTTGATCTTTAAACCACCAAAGCTTTGAGTTTCTCTGGACTAGCTCTGATAAACTTCAATAAACAAATCTTGAGGGAATTGAAGATTGGACATCTGGGATCTTAAATTTATGGACCTTCAAAGACCCGTTGGAGGAACCAGAAGATACAGAGGAGATTAACAAAGACATTACAGCCTGAAAGTTGGAGACCCTCTGTCAGAGGAAGAATGATAAGAGAACCAAAGAATGCAGACCAAATTAGCCAATAAAGGATAGAATACTAATTAAATTAAGAGAATTGTGTAACTTAGAACCAATGAACATTAATTTCTTTGTTTGCTAAAATGTATAAATACCTGAAAAGACTTGAAAGGGCAGATATGTAGCTGGAATGATTCGCTACATATCTCTGGCCAGAATAAAGTAATATCTGGCTCACTAACAATTAAAAGGTAGTGTTGGAGGTTTCATTTCTTCCTGATGATTTCCGGTGACATTATCAACATTATTCTCACACTGAATTCAAAACACAGCACTGTACCAGCTACTAAGAAGAAAATTAACTCTGTCCCAGACAAAACCAGGACAATCATGCAAAGTGTTGAGCTAATATAAATTTATTTAAAGTAGTCTGAAGAGGTAGCTTTAGTCTTTTCTTGGGAGTGGGGCAGCTTTACCAGTTCTGTTGTTTTGCTCTTGCACCCTTTTCTGAAGGGTGAACCAGTTTAAAATCAGCTTAGCCAGCTCACAGGGAGTGATGCATGACCAAGCCAAACCTCTGGGGTTGCCTAACAAGTGCAACAGTGAATACTTGGTGAGTGTCTTGCCCTTTTTATGTGAACACTGACCACTTTCTGAAGCTGAACATTTAGATTTTCCCATTGTGTTCCAGAACTGTAGCAGGATATTTGTAATTCTTCCCTGTGGAGAGTTCACCTTTTCAGAGGTAGGTGACATTCCCAGGGCCATTTCAGCAAAGACTCCGAGGCAAACTGCACGGACAGACCTACTCTGGAGCCGAGAATCGCGCTGAGGGAGGGAGGCAAACTTTCCTGCTCGCCAAGACCTCGAAACTAAAGCAGAGAAAGACGCCCCAGCCTCGCCCCCTCCCGAGCAGGAAGCGGTGGAGCCGTGACTCAGAGGCAACGCTGAGTCAGCGTGGGCGGTACCAGCCCCCAGGGAGCATGAGCGACTTGGAGTGTGGTGAACGTAGTTGGCACTGCCAGCTCAAGCAGTTAACTCAGTTGGTGGTCAGCGCCCTCGCCAAGAGAGTTCAGGTACGGTGTCCACTCAGACAAAAATTGCTTCCTCTGTGCACACCAGAAAGGACATGGTGACCCAGACAGAGCGCCCATGAAAGCATGCAGGGGTCCAGGTCTCAGGCTGCAGGAAGTGTCAGAGCCTGGCACTGCTCTCCGAGGGCAGCAGAGAGAACAGCTGCGTGAGATGCGATCGACGATCTACTCAGCCTGGTGGCAGAACTGAGATGAAATAGAAAGACTTAGCGAGTTCTTCCGCCAGCTCCCTCAGTACCCTTGGATGAATCTCATCTGGTCCTATAGACTTGTGAGTGTCTAAGTGGCACATCAGGTCACTAACTACTTCCTCCTGGATTTCAGGGGATCTATTTTGCTCCCCATCCCTGTCTACCAGCTCAGGGGGCTGGTTGCCCTGAGGATAACTGGTCTTACTGTTAAAGACTGAGGCAAAGAAGGTGTTAAGTACCTCAGCCTTTTCCTCATCCTTGCTGACAATGTTCTCCTCTGGGTCCAATAAATAAAAACACTTTTTATTATCTTTCACAGCAGTGGCCAGATTGAGTTCTAGTTGAGCTTTTGCCTTTCTAATTTTCTGTCTACATGACCTAATAACATCCTTGTACTCTTCCTGAGTTGCCTGCCCCTTCTTCCAAAGGTCATAAACCCTCTTTTTTTCCCTGAGTTCCAGCAAAAGCTCCCTATTCAGCCAGGCCAGTCTTCTTCCCTGCCAGCTCATCTTTCAGCACATAGGGATGGCCTGCTCCTGTGCATTTAAGATTCCCTTCTTAAAGTATGTCTAGCCTTCCTGGACCCCTTTGTTAAGAGCTGTTTCCCAGGGGACTCTCTGAATCAGTGTCCTGAATAGCCAAAGTCTGCCCTCTGAAAGTCCAAGCTAGAGGTTTGGTTGACCCACTTCTTTATTTCACCAAGAATCAAAAAGTAAAATATTCACAGGTATTTTTCCCAAAAACTGCCAAGGCAGTGGAAAGGATTCAAAAGGTTTATTTTGGAGGCAAAGACACTAAAAAAACTTACAAAGGAAACCTGCGCCAGGCTGCGAAGCAGTGCTGGGCCTGAGAGAG